AAAATCTGAAAATTGAACTTACAATTTTCAAAATTAGGGACAAGAATTCATTCAACTGGAGAGTCTTGTAGAGAAGGATTTTTTTAATGAGATCAATTTTTGCTGTGCCTTAACCCTTGGACTGTGGTGGGTTCTTTCCCATAGAGGGACAGAGTCAGATTACTTTTGTATCCTCCCGCATTTTCAGATTTTTGAAGGTCAGGAAAATCCTTCCACGTGGGCTGAGGCAAAGTTGGTATAAATCCAAAAAAGTGGGTAGGGTAAGTGAGCTTTTATTTTCCCGCAAAAATGTTCTGTGCCCGGGGAAAAAAACATTGGGATTTTACCCAACTTTGCCCTTAACCCCCTGTTGACATTTTTTTCTTCACCTCTCTGAGGTGCAACAAAAATTCAACAAAAATAGTCCAACTTTGCTGTCCAAGGGTTAAGGATAACTGCCCAGACTTTGAAAAAGTTTGTTGTAAGCAAACATTTGCTCTAACGAGATTCGTTGTAGCATGATTCTACTTTATTTTGATTCATATATGTACCGCACGCATTAAAGGTTCGTCAAAAGTCGAAACAATTATCAATTATCCTTTATGTTTTTTTTTTGACTGTCGGGAACGCACCGATGACGAATGCTGCAGTGTACATTCCCGACGCCGCCATGGCGACGAGCACGTGCAGGGAAACGAAGACCCAGAGATTCGGAGCAAAGGCTGCGACAACTCCGAACACCAACTTCATGCCAGCGCATACCATCAGTGTCGTCTTCCGGCCGAACCTGATCAATAATTCAAACACACACACACACACACTGCTGAAGTGCTGATCGATAAAAGGCAATAAGACAATCACATGACAGTCTTTTCAATCGTGCGAGATTCAAAAAAAAATTATGCCAGCGCGCTGCACATATTCGAGGTACATACGTGACACTGCTTAGCAGGAGGTAAACTACGTGCTCGAATTATTCACACAGCTCCCAAGAAATAAATCATGCAACATGATTATACCTTCCAGAATTTATGACATCTTTACGCAAAATGTATGCATCAGAAATGAAGTAGATAACTAAAGCATTTGTTCAGCGAAATTAGAAAATTGACTCATTTTTTTAAGGATCAAGATTCACGCCGTTCAATGTTATCCACGAATTTCTAAATCATTGAATCATCTTTCTTGAGAGTGCCGCAACAATTTTTTTAAATTACGCGAAAAACGAAGAAGAAAGAAACATTTACGAAGGCTGGCGATTTTCGTTCCATATGATAGTGTCATTTTTGGGCTGGATCACATTTGTGATGAGAAGGATAATTATTCATGAAAAAAGAAACGATCTTCAGAAATTTCAAGATTGCATTTCAATTTCATGGGCTTTATAACTTTACTCTTGCTTCACATTTACTTTTCAATAAAAAAAAAAATTTATGTGCCTTTTTGATTGCTTCGAAATTGAGGTGAAAATCAGCTTTCAGGTGCTTCTAAAAACGGTTTTCAAGTCTTCATGTGTAAGAGAGTACTGTATATTAAAATTCTCAGAAAATATTTCGATGAAAATCATTAGACAAAAATGTATTTCTACCTCAGACAAATTTCGAGCTATTTTTCGAGAGACCTGTGTTCGTAGATTTAATCCTCAGAAAAAAAAATGCATACCAACAGGCTTGCATGTTATTTATCATGTTCGTAAATATTTTTGTCACGGAATATTCAGAAGACATGACACCAAAGAGGGAGGAAAATATGAAGTTTAAAAAAACTCTTTATTATAAATTGTAAGACAAGCTTGGAAAGACGACACCTTCTTCCATCACGGAAATATATACGGTGGAATGACGCACACAATTATCTTTTTTTTTTTTAATTGCAAATAGAACTGATGTGGATTCCTCGTCCACGAATCGATAAATTGTTTTTTTTTAACCTCTCAAATATATAAATATATACATCATAGTAAATATACATCAAGACCTTCGGAGAACTGCAGTTTTCATTTTTCTCTTCAATTAACGTGAGCAAATATCCGCTGGAAAAAAGGGAAGAAAATCAGACGACGTTCGGATTCATTGATTAATCAAAATAAATAGGCGGGAAACCGGGGCGCAGTGAATGAGATGATCCGCGCTGGGAATATGTAAAGAAAAGACGTAATTCTACGAAAGAAATATTCACAGACGCGGAAAGTACGAAACAGTACCTGTCTGAGAACATTCCGAAGACAACACAGCCCAGGAACTTCCCAACCATGAACATGGCCTGACTCGTCGATATCACCCACTCTTTTCCACACACCAATTCCCACTGAAAGATTGCAAATCATGCAAATGGAATCCAGATGATCCAGAACAGATTCCTATATATTGGTTCAATTTCAGGAGGATAATCTGAGTTTGATGCTGTTTCAATATGTGACCAACCAAAACTGATGGTGCAACAGTTTAGAATTTACAACAGATCCCGAAACTTTCCATTTTCTGAAGCAATACTTTCAAAGTGTGTAGCAATTTTGACATTAATAATTTTTTAATTTAAAAAATTTCAAGAATTGAAAATGCTTATTGTTCTTCATTTCTTTCTGGCACACGATTTAATATCGACTCAACTTCATGATGAAGCGTTTAGAATGATCAATTAAAATATCACATAAGCTAGCCACAATGAGAATAAATACTGTAACTAGAATTTAATTCTGTTACAGTACTAACCAATTCAAACTACAGATAGCTGTTTCTTAGCCTCACTTTGCTGGTGATAGTTTCACCGAAATCTGTTTTGTCAAAATCCCACTTGGAACACCGAATTCGCTTCCGCTCGTCTTCAGGTAGGTCCAATGAAGACAGATCGTACATCTGACAGGATGAAAACACCGTACCCTTCTGAAAAGAATGTCACAATTTAATTTTTTTTACCATGATTCAAGTTTTATAATATTTTTTCACGAGTCTAGAGGGATTCCAAAGTAATATTTGGCAGGTATGTTGTATTAGCAATAATACTGTATCTTATTCGGGTCAGCACTGGAAGTTTGATTTGACAAGTTTTTACGAGTAAACAAATCACTTCTGCACGAATATCAGTACATGAAGCGGGTATCTTTGATCAAAATCCCCAGAAATTCTACTTCCACCGACACATGCCATTTTTTGAGTACCCCCAAATTTGACGGTCCAAAGGCATCGAAAATGGTTTTGTGAAGTCAGTAAAAAACCAGACAAGAACAAAAAATAGGGTCGAAACAAAAAATAGGGACGAGACAAGATGCGGACGTAACTCACTGAAAACCCACCGAAGAAAAAGAAAAAGATAGGGCTGTCAAAATTCTCAAAAACAAAGCAAGAATGAATAACAGGGTTGTTAACCCGAGATGAGGAGCATGAACAATAGGGTTTTCAACTCCGTTGAAATCATTAGAAAAAGAAAAACATGGTTGCCAACTATTGAAAAAAAGAAGCAAAAAGAGAATTATGAACTCAGTTAAAACCTTAACAGAACATAAAAATTTGATGAGCAAGTCAACTTCAATAACCCACTTAAAACCTAGAGGGGAAGGAAAGATAGGGTCGTCAACTCGTCTTAAGTCCAGGCAAGAAGGAAATATAGAGATGCCAACTACATGAAAATCCATAGAAAAAGGAGAAATAGAGTGGCATGAACAAGAAGGAACCGTAGAGTCGTCAACCCACTCACAAGCTAGAGAAAAAAAAAACAATAAATAGGGTTGTCAACTCAATTCAAACCTATGTAGAGAAAAAGTAAAAGTGAGACCCCAAGATGCGGACATCATTGATGCATCAAAAGTGTCACCCAGTTGAAATGTCATTAAGTCAAGTCTTGTTTTCCCTTAGACTTACATTATATAATTTTTAATTGGTGTTTTGTGGAAGAAATATTCTTCAGAATTCCTTTAAAAAATTGGTTGCCAC